TGTCTGACTGGGCCTCGTGTCTCTTTATGTTCAATAAATTGGGCCCCGAGGTCAAAAAGGTTAAGAACCCCTGATTTAATATGTTGCCTCACAAAATGAAGTGAAACTGATTTTAAATTTGACAAATGTAATAATTAAAAACAAAAAAACTTAAGGTTAATGAAGTGAAATAAGACAGAAATACTTGGCAACATGATGGCTCAGTGGTTAGCACTGACGCACCACAGCGAGAAGGTCCTGGGTTCGATCCCTGGTTCAGACCTGGGGTCTTTCTGTGTGGAGTTTGCATGTTCTCCTCATGCTTGTGTGGGTTTTCTCCGGGTACTCTGGTTTCCCCCACCCCCCCAAAACATGTACAATAGGTTGTCTTCAGGCCCAGGCCTCCCTTGAAAAAGAGATCTGAGTTCTCAATGGGACTTGCCTGGTAAAATAACGGTTAATAAAAATAAATACTTGATAAAAACCTGAAATCTGTGCTTGCTTATRCATTCACACAGGATCAAGTCTCCTCAGGTTCTTCTCTGTGGTCCTGGTCCATCTAACCTRGACTTTGTTTTTCAGGACCAAACATCTCCAGCTCCTTCAGAAGGGACAGTGCTGCTCGTGGTCAACAGTCTTTAAATGAGACCACAGATTCTTAGGACTGGACTTTGGATCAGTCCAGGACCTGTAACTGGTTCTAAACCAGTGGAATGGGTTTTCAGCAGGCTGTTTAGGATCGTTGTCCTGCTGATGAAAACGTCCCTGCAGCATAATGGTGCCACTACCGTGCTTCAGTGAAGGGACAATGCTCCCACCATGATGAGGTGGTTGTCGTCTCAGACATGTTCTGTGTGTGTTTAGTCCCATCTGACAGCAGAACCTTCTTCYACATGTTTGAAGAAGAAACTCCCAACAGTCCAGCTTCTGTATTTTTTAATTAGWGATTTTCCTGTCCTTTCTTCCATGAAGTGCAGTTTTGAACAGCTTGTAGTGGTCCTGTGGACTCCATCAGGGTTATCTTCAACCTCCTGGACCCTCCTCTGAATAAAGCCCTCCTCACCACTCTGACTTTTGATGGTCAGTCCTTTCCTGACAGGTTTAGTCTTCATCATGTCTCTCTGTGGTAGATCTGACCACTGTTGATTCAGGGTGTAGTGATATGAGGTTTAAATCATTACTTGGATCACTCACATGTGGAAACTAAAGGGAACAATTGGAACTTTAAAGCAAAGGTCATGTTTCCTGTGGTCCTGAAGACCACTTCATGTTAAAGATATGAAACCTCCATTTGAAAACAGAGTAAAGGTTCRTAAAAATGTCTAAGATTACATCAGAATAAGAGTTTGTTGCAAATATTTCTTCACACTTTTATGAGCAGCAGATKATTTGCTTGAATTAGAATTTGAGAAAAGGCCAAAAGAATTTAACACATTGTTAGGAAACTTTAACCTTTATCATTTTAAAGTCTGTACACTTTGAAAATGGWGTTAATTAAATAAACACTAAAAGAAAAAGTACAGAGTAATCTGAAGAAATGAATCCATCACTTCTACACTTCGTCTTCTCTGTTGCTTCCTCACTTTTCAGYTTTAGTGTCACCAGATCAGACAGGCTTTGACTGAGCTGGAGGACAGGTTCGATAATCAGAGTCACGTCTGGATCAAGTCYACTGACAGAGGACACGTGGGCCACTTCTAACTTGTCTCTACACATTACTGAAAGTTAGAAACTGCAGAAAAAAACTGTTTTGAAACAAYTTAGCGCAACTTCTTGATGATCAAACAGTACTGATGTGCTCCACTGAGCTGGAACTAGCGGTGTAAGAAAATATCGATACACTAAAATATCGCAATATTTCATTTCCCGATACTGTAAAGAAACAATTTTACTGCCTCGAAGAAACAAGATTTACTGCCTTGAAGCAGGCCTCGGACAGGCCTACTGAGAAGGCAGGAACTCTGTCACAAAATGAACTCTATTTAGGCCATGACAGGTCATTTCAACCTAGAGGAGAATTTCTCAGTTCTCTTAATTAGATAATGGACAGAACAATCTTTTCTGTTCGTGATTCATTTGTTGTTTAACTAAGAATGTTTATGCATTTGTTAAATCATAATAATGACTGTCACAAGAAAGTGGAAAGCCCTGTATCGGTTTTTAATTGAGGTTTAAAATGTCAACTTTCCTGCCAGTCGTTCATTTTTATGTTGTAGTTCAGCCTCTGACCACTAGTTGGCAGCAGTGAGCCAGCTATTTGGCTCCTCTACCTCTGGAGTGCCAGAGAGTAAGAGTAGCATTAGCATTGTGAGTAAACATTAGCTTCATGCTACGATAGCTGAATCTGAGCAGAAAAGACCGACACCCTCTGCTTCTAAGCTGAGGTTAGTTTACAAACAGTTACTTATTTGTCAGAATGTCTGTATTTTAAGCCAGATTAAGTGTCTCATGTGCTCTTTTTTCCAACTTTAGTCAACCTTCACGTTACAGAAGGCTAGCGCATGTCTATGTAATAGAATTTTCTGAGACAATGAATTTTGGTTTTTCATTTTTTTCCCAGTAAGAGGTTTTTATTTAATAGAATTTTTGGACCAAAAAAAAAATCACAATATGTCGCCTTGTTTACAGTATTGCAATGTACCAGGATATATCGTATCGTGACACCTCTGTCATGATATGTATCGTATCGCCAAATTCTTGCCAATACACAGCCCTAGCTAGAACACTGAGGAAAGATGAGCTCAGAGAAGAAGTATCATCAWGAACATTTACTGCTCAGTGATAAATCTGACCTGAATATGGCTAAAATATACAAACTGTTAAAAACTATCAAGGGATCTTTGGTGTTCAGCCAAAAAAGATGGATGCTCTGCAACTCAAACAGAACCACCACAAAGTTCTGCCATAAGAATATAAAAATAAAACTGGTACATTTGTTCTATAAGATTAGTAGTTTTACTTTAATATCTCAGCATTAGTGTTGCTTGCCCTGTCACGATATAACATTTTAGACAATTTATGTTGACTTTTTAAATTTTTGTTAAGACTAAATTATTCATATAGGTTATTTATTCAATCTAATTGCATCAATACAGTATTTAAACATCTAAAAGAGGATCTTAGTAGATTTTTTTCTGACATCATCATCTTCAGTGATTCATAAGTTGTCTAAAACGTTTTTGAGCAGTAATTTTGACAAAAGGTTGGTCAGATGACTGTAAAAATGTGGTGTTCTGTCTGTTTTGATGAAGTGAAGTGTAAGCCCAAACTAACAAGTGGACACGTGGGGTGTGTTGATGCTATCAGTGTACAGACAACAGTCATGCATGTTAAGCAACAGTTGGATGTCAGATCAGGACAGGGGTGAGCGCATCRTCACATCCAATCTGTCTGCTGGTGACAGGAGAGCAGCAGAGCTACAGCCAYAACCCTACGTTCCATTAGATGAAATTACAGAGCTGTGGAGAGACATTCACACCAGGCTGGCAGTGCCCAGGCAGCAGTGAATAAAACATGGAGGGGTGGGCTGATGACTTGTTCTGGTGCCACGAGTCCAGCAGCTGTGTGGAAGACCAGTCTGAGTACCAGACCATGTGTTCATTCAGCTCAGGCACAGCTTAAGAGTTCAAACCTTTGACCATAAAATGTGTTTTAACCACGGGCTGCTAAGGTCCTGACACACACACACAGCATCAACTTATTAAAAATCTACAACGCATTGATGGAAGTTAGGTGTCATTTTAGGATAATTTACCAACAAGAGGGCATACGTTGTCATAYGGAGATCCCAGCACAGAATTTTGAACGTTTCAAAATTTTCACCGTATTCTGAACTGTTGATCAGTTTTACACACGTTTCAGCTCTGTTCTATATATGTTCACACATGTTACATGAATGTTGCTCATACGTGGACATTTGTCAGAAATAATTATGAAGCAGACACATAACGTACTGAATAAAGTCAGGGAGTTATTCAATGACAAAGCTCTGCTTGTGTTGTACAATTGAACCATTGTTCCATATTTAATTTACTGTGTTGAAATCTGGGGTAAAGCTTGTAAAACAATTACAAATCCAATTTTTGTTTTACAAAAAAGAGCCGTAAGAATTATCGCGAGAAAAGATTACAACTACCCATCTAATACATTATTTTGTAAACTGAAAATTTTGAGATTCTATGATTTGATTGATGATAATATTTTACTGTTTATGTACAAGGCTCACAGAAACATATTACCTTCCAACATTCAGGTAAACTTTGTTAAGAGAGACAGTTGTTATTATCTAAAGGGGACGGAAATGTTTGTGAAGCCATATTTTCTTGCTTGCTTGAAAGAAAGATATACTTTAATCCAGGGTAGTTTAATTCAGGGTATAGTTTAATCCAGGGTATGGTTTAATTCAGGGTATAGTTTAATCCAGGGTATGGTT